ATGAAACTAGAACTTCAAAAGCAACGCTTAGCGAAGGATGTGCCACATGCATTGGAACCAACAGGACTTCTAGATTGTTATTTTCAAGCTCGGCATTAAACATGTAAGACAGTTTAGAGGTTTGCGGACATTCAGACAAGCATTGGGAAATCACATTCCTTGATAATCCTCGCTAGACACTTTGGTTATTCATTAGGAAACTATTGAAGCCATGAAGACTGACCGCAACAAAAGGGCCCAAAGCGGTATAAAATAACCTGCTACATTTATTTTAAAACGTACAGTGACGAACAAAATTATTGGCACAGTTGGCACGTCTGACTTTCGCACAGTGTTTCTCCATGAAATATGGTGATATTTAAATAAAACAAATTTTATTCATATACATTGATCAATTTCCTACTAAAATTACTTTATTTCATTCATTTATATTTTTCCATTAATTTAAGAAAATTAAAAATATAAAAAAACAGCCGTTTTCGCCTGAACAAAATTATTGGCACACTTGGGTAATAGTGAACTATATTTTCAAAATTTCAACAATATAGCAAAATTTTTTTTCAAAACCCCGTTATGTTTATATTTGGAATGACATAGTTGTAAATGTTTGAGTTAAAAACCACGCAGTGCCTTTTTTTATAAGCAAAATCTCTAAGATTTTAACAAAATGAGCGGCAAACAAAAGGAAACCACTGAATCTCAGCGGAAAATAATTTTGTATTTGCATAATCAAGGCAAATCATATGCTGAGATTGGAGAAATTATGGATAGAAGCCGGTTTACCATTCGGAGCATTGTCCAGCGTTTTAAAGGAGCCTTAACATTGGAGAGTGCTAAGCACACTGGTCGACCCAAGGCTTTGACCGACCGGGAACGCACCGAGATCATCAGGAAGGTGAAGGTGAACCCAAAAATCTCTTCAACACAGATTGCAGCTCAGGTTAAAAATGAATTTAGAAAAGATATTCACCCGATTACGGTTCGGAGGACACTGCACAAAGCTAAATACAAGTGCCGCGTTGCTAGAAGAAAACCACTTATTTCAAAAGTCAACCAGAAGAAGCGCTTAGCCTATGCAAACGAATATTTGAGTAAGCCGATGGACTTTTGGAACAATGTCATCTTTTCCGATGAAAGTAAATTCAACATTTTTCAATCTGATGGCCGCCAAACTGTTTGGAGAAAGCCTAATACGGAACTGGAAAAAAAAAACATCGCTATGTCTGTAAAGCATGGTGGTGGAGGCGTCATTGTGTGGGGCTGCATGTCCGCTGGTGGTGTTGGCGAACTTGAATTTATAGAAGGAACTATGGACAAAAAGTATTATTTAGATATCCTTAAGAGAAATCTAAAAAAAAGTGCCGAAAAGTTGAACATACCAGCCACGTTCACGTTTCAATACGACAATGACCCAAAGCATACGGCTTATGATCTGCGCATGTGGCTTGCACATCATGTAAAACATACTTTGCTGCATCCGCCCCAATCTCCAGGTCTAAACCCCATCGAACATTTGTGGGAAGAATTAGATAGACGTGTAAAAAAACGCGCTTATCTACAAAGGCCGAGCTGAAGGTGGCACTGGTGGAGGAGTGGCGCAATATTGGATCAGAAACCACTCAAAGTTTGGTTTCTTCGATGCCCAGACGCTTGGAAGCAGTCATTAAACATAAGGGCTTAGCCACAAAATATTAATTTATGTTTAAAAACGGTTATTTATGTTAATTTTAAGTATTTTTGGTTAAGTGTGCCAATAATTTTGTTCAGGCGAAAACGGCTGTTTTTTTATATTTTTAATTTTCTTAAATTAATGGAAAAATATAAATGAATGAAATAAAGTAATTTTAGTAGGAAATTGATCAATGTATATGAATAAAATTTGTTTTATTTAAATATCACCATATTTCATGGAGAAACACTGTGCGAAAGTCAGACGTGCCAACTGTGCCAATAATTTTGTTCGTCACTGTATATTAAATTCCTCTGAGGTCAGAAATGTAATTACCATTCTTGGCACCTTAACATGGCAGGCTGATTTTAAAAACAGCTGTAAATATATTTAAAATATTTGTCGTTGGTTAATAATAGTGGCGATGTCAAAACAGTAGTTCGTATTAAGCTTATAATGTCCATAATAAAAAATTGAAATATATACACAATCTATACAAGTATTTATAATTTGCATGGCGCAGTTCAAAGCATTAGGGAAGCGGTCTCCCACCTTGAATTTCCTCACTAGAGAGCCAGTTCTGTGTTTAAACTTTTTTTGTTTTCTTTTAATTCGAATGCGTAGTATATTTAGCTCTTTGGTGCTTTCTCAAACTAATATAACAGCAGTATAGCCTTGCGGAATATTGTTTTGTTTTCATTTTACTCTCAAAAATATTTCTAAATAATAACAGGATATGCGTTTCATTAGTTTTAATTAATCTCTTCGCACGACTCTCTAACTCTTAAATTCTTTGTCATTGATAGAACATGAGTATTTAATTAATTTAAAGCCATGTTGAGCTTGAGCATTGACTAGCCTAATAGGCTAATAGAAATGACGAAACCGGTTCGACTATTTTCGTTACATCTAATATTTTCGCGCAAATTCTTTGTGGGATTCTGTTTCTGTATTCGTATTCTTTGTTAATTTATGGCACATATTTCCGCTTTATGTGCATTAAAGCATCATTTCTTGTTAGCAATACGTCGTTAGAGAAGATGGATGGCTGCGATAGTCGGGTCAGCACTTTAATTTGTTTACTATTTATAGAATGACGCCCGCTTTGTGGGTTCTGAACATTTTCGAAATGCCACTTTCTTCATTTATTTGTTTTTTATTTGAGGCGCACATTAAATTAATTGCAGTGCGTTGCATCAGCAAAATCCAACGAAGACGACACTCTACGAGTTTTACACTTGTGGGTGATTGTCGGTCTTTGCACAGCATCGTATGGGGAATTAGATACACATAACTATGAATATGAATATCTATAAATGCAAATAGGATATAGTATAATTATAATCAAGTTAATCTGGCTGTAATATACGTTTTTAGCTTTAGTTTTTCTATGTCAAATAGTTAGCTAAGTAAGCCAAACATTCAACATTTTCAAGGTCTATTCTCGTTTCAGCCTGAAAGAACTCTCAGGGGTTGAGTAAAGCACTTTTAGATCAAGTTCCATATGAAGTTCAATCATCGATTGAATATAAAAATGCTAGTTTACTTTAATATCATTACAAGATGATGATCACAGGCATAGGAATTATACTTTGTTTCATAAGATTATAAATTTGTTCAATTCCTTGCCAACGCAGAGCTTCCAAACTTATCCACAGATTGATTTGAAAAATAATCTCTAGAAAGACCAGAAAAATTAAACTCGAATCACCTTACAAAATAGACACTGACACAGCACTTTAAAATAATTTACAAAGTCTGTTGATCTAAAATACTTGTAACATTCAATATAAAATATAAGTATATTTGTTTCAGGATTATATATTTTTTAAAGCACTCATTTGCTTGGATTAAGCAAGACTATTTGCCGAAGAATATTCTAATACTAGTTGTTTAACGCTGTCAATGTCTTTTTTAATAGGCTTAGAACAGGTCGCTAGTATTATTGTTTGATAACTTGGCTACAACTTGTTTATACGTCATGCCGGCGACTTTGACTTTGACATTTTCATTGAGAGTCTTCGACCACCACAAACACTTCTCACGATGTGTTAGAGATGTGCGCGTGACAAACACAATATATGTATATTGGAAGCAAGCATTCCATTGCTTTTTCCTTTTTGTTATTACTTTTAATTAAAGGTAGCTTTTAATATTTGTTGTAAGAAGTACAGAGGAAATTATATTTAAATAAAAAATTAAAATCGCGAAAAATTGAATGAAAAAATTAACTTCACTTACTTATTTGCTTACCAAGTAATATTAATATTATTAAAAAATAATGCAGAAAAAACATTACAACATAATAAAGGACAATTAATGTTAAAAAATTCCAACCGCATCAGTAATGTTTAAGAATAATAAAGAAGCTGACTATTCGGTCTATAAAAGCGTATTTAAAAAAAGGTATACATTAATCTTGAAACACAATATACCATTAAAGGGACCCTTAAGAATCAATGTTGTTTGAGAAATACCCCTCTTGCATTAATCTAGCTTGCGACAATCTTTTTGGTACAGCCATTGTTCGAAATAGAAGAGCGTTCAGTTAGTTCATTATTTATGTTTAGTTTAAAAGAAACGTTCTTAAATGTATAAAAAAATGTTTTAAAAAAGAACTTTCTAACTTACCCAACTTTATTGGCATTTTTCGTACTTCATCTTAAAACTAAAATAATCTCATTTTTCCAGATCCAAATAAAGGTTTATTTTTTAAACTTTAATAACACATTTCGGTTTTAATTACAGGTTTTAAAAACTTACACATTTTTAAATTGTTTTCCACAATTAAATATTATGCTTTCTGAAGCAATTTTGTTCGATTTTTCACTTCGTTCGTATTCACTTTTTGAATTTCACGATCATATTTTCTGGCATCACGCACAGCTCTACTACACACACCCTTATACTAGGCTAACTGTTTTGTTGCTAATCAAAGCCGCAATTAAAACAAACATGCTAAGCTGAGAATAAAATTTATAAACATATATTTAGAGATATGTGGATGCATTGATTGTTGATTGAGCGGCAGAGTCGGAGCTCGTACGGGTTTGTTCTGATCGCCGGAGCTGGGCAGAACGTATGCAAATTGAAAAGCTCATCGTATGCCATCGAAATGGCATATGTTTCATTATTTTGTTGGCTAAATGGCAAAACAAACCAAAAAATAATAAATTAATGAACAAGTTTCTGGTGCGTTAAATGACGCAGCCTCTGTCTCTGTCTCTGTCACTGTCTCTCTGTCTGTGTCCGCCTCTGCCTCTGGTTGAGCGCGAGATCGAAACTAAAAGGCAGTTTGTGTTTAGAACTTGGCGCGTGCGCGTCTTCAAGTCTCGATATTGATAAAGAAATGTGCTAAATCGATATACCGATATAGAGAATCAGCAATCAATCAATAATGGCAACGGAAACGGAAACAATACAGCCTGAGGCTGTCACTGAGCCCAAGCTGAATTATTTTCAGAAACTGTGGCGATATCGCCAATATTTGGTGATCGAACCCTTTTTCTTCTTCTATCTGATGGCCTCCGTTTTCAATTCCGTGGCCATGCAGAACTTTCCTCTAGATAAGGCCTGTCGCGTAAATCTTGGCTATAGTAAGGCCGTTTGTGACACCACATTGGATAAATCGGTGCTGGGAATCGAGTGCGATGACTTCAATTTCGAGAATACCACAGAAGGCGCCTCCAACCTACAGGCCCAGATGGGCATCTATTCCGAAGGCTTCAACTACACTGTTTGCAAGGCAGAGCTGGAGGCACAGATATTGGCGTCTGCAGTATCGGGGAAGCGGGCTCCCATAGGTAAATAGCCCTCACCCACCTTGAGATTCCTCGCTAGACAACCAGTTCCAGGTTTAAGAAATTTGCATTTTCTTCGAATTCATATCCAAATTCAGGTTCTTGTTGCGTTCTCAATCAAACAATTATAAGCACAACAGTGTTGCATTCCAAAACCCTGTTTTGTTTTTATTTATTCATAATTTTAGCTAAACTTATAAAAGTATACAAGTATGAGAAGATGCGCGTTTCATTTGCGCTGATTGGTCCACTAATTTGCACCTCTGGGTCTCTTTGCACGTAGTCTCTCTCGTAGTCCGCCACTTAAATTGCTGGCCATTGCGGGAATACGGGTAGTTGATTAATTTAAAGCCACGACTAGCTTTAACAATAAATAGAAATGACCAAACCGGTTCGACTCTTTTTATTACATCAAACATTTTCGGTTAAACGCGCCGCCAACATTCTTGAAGGTGTTTCTCTGACTGTCTTCGAGTGTTGTATTATTTATGCGACACATGCATAAAAAGGAAGGCCCCATCGTAGCTAATAGATGATAGTTGGGTCAACTTTTGATTTCCTTTCTCGAAACTGTTTTTAGCACGACATCCGTAGAATTGCTTTCTGTGATGCTCTTATTTGATTTATTACTTTTTTATTAGCAGCGCACAATAAATTAATTGCAATGCATTGCATCAGCAAAATCCAAAGAAGACGACACTCTACGAGTTGTTTTTGTATTATTTCCAGATATTACATATATCTTATTTGATTGATCCCTCCTACATACTATACTGTAGAGGTGGAATTTGAGTTTAGCGATTATTTGGGAATCAAAAATTCAACCTGAAGTCAATATTTATGGTCAAATAATTTGCCAAGTATAAGATAGTAGACTAATAGGTTGCAGCGATATTTTGAGAATTTCTGCCTAAAGGGCGCTTTATCGGTTCTGGCAGTCCAGTGGAATCTAGTATATCCAAGTCTTAGCTGTGATTTTAATAAGTTCTCCCTCTAAGTCTTAGCCATGATTTTAATAAGTTCTCCCTACTACACACAACTTGTTGTGATCAATGATCGATGATTAAAGTATTTCTCAAACTTTGTAGAAATCTAGAAAATAACTCCCAGTCTATTGCGCTAAGATTTTTGAATATGAAACGGGGTGTGTCGCTCAAGTCTGGGGCCACTGTTTCCATTCACGTCAGTGAGTGAGTTTCTTAGAGCGGGGAGGTTGCTTTCTAACAATAGTGCATAGTTCCCAGCACTGGGAACTTCGGTTTACCATTAAGTCTGGTTCCACTAGCCACTTCTCTCAATGCATTCAAACAATTCCATTCCCAGCTGCAATATTTCCGTTGATCGTGCTGCTCTTCGCGGGTGGCTGGAGCGATCGTTACAACAAACGCAAGCCCTGCATGATATTTCCAATAATCGGGGAGGCACTTTCCTTCACTTGTAAGTAACAACCCAGAGCTTGTATATATATGGCTGGAGTATTATCTAATAACCTATGTTTGTGCAGGTCTGCTCATCTCGGCCATTTTCTTCGACTCGTTGCCGATGGAATTTGGCGCCTACTGTGAGGCTATAGTGCCTGCTCTATTTGGAGGCCTGACTTTCTGTCTGATGGCCATCTACAGTTACATAACCATCGCCACACCCGAAAATGATCGCATCTTCCGTTTTGGTATCTTCGCGATGTTTGTGACGGCCGTGCCATTTATTGGACAACCGATCAGTGGCTACTTATTCCAGATTCTGGGCTACACATGTAAGTTAATGTGTTTGACATTGTTTTACATAAATATAAGAATATCTCTTTTATCTTAAAGGGTCCTTTGCCTCGGCCATTGTGTTCCAAGTCATTGCAATACTCTACATCGTCTTCTTCATCAAGGAGGTAAAGGCGACCTCCAAAGCGGCCCCGAAACCCAATGAGAACGACGCCCCACCACTACCCGCGACACTGCCGCCCAGGCATGCAGCCGATAACATGGCCTACGAGACCACAAATTTGGATGAGCTGGTCCACAAGAATGTGAACTTCGAGTTGGCGCCACAGATGGAACCGCCGTCAGTAAAGCACGAGCCACCGAAGCTCGATGTGCCACCGCCACGTCGTTCTCTGTGTCGCGAACTCTTCGATCCCACGCTAGTCATCGACTGCATTAAGTTCCCTTTGATTAAGCGCGAGAATAACGGACGTATGCTATTAATTCTGCTGATCTCGGCCTATTTCTTAACCCTTGGTCCGGTCTCTGGCGAGAACGATTACTGGTATCGCTATACGCTGAAAAAGTTGAACTGGAACGGCAATGATTTCAGCATCTATCTAACATTCTCATCGGCCTTGGCCTTGATAGGTAAGTGGCCATTGAAGCCATATTCCACAATGATTCTTCTCTACTTCCTTATTTCGCAGGCACCTTTATTGGAACTGCCATTCTAAGTAAGCTTCTCAAGTTCTCCGACCCTGTCATTGGAATGCTCTCGGCCGTCTCCATTGTCGTTTCGCGTGTTTTGTTTGTAAGTTGGCATCGACAGAAGCTCCCGAAAATAGTTTCCTAAGTTCGTTCCATTCTTCAGGCCTTCTCAACCGACACCACATCCTTCTACGTGGCTGGAATAGTGGACATGCTTGTTAGTCTGCGTGTAATTGCAATTAAAACGATTGGCTCGAGCATCGTGGATGGCGAGGAATTGAGTAAGTTTTCCCATAACTTACAATATATATTCAATCCCTATCTGAACTGTACTTTTTTTTTGAGGCAAAATGTATTCAATATTCGGCATAAGCGAGCCCATTGGTCAGTTCATTTTTCCGCCCATCTACAGTGCCATTTACCAGAGCACTATTGAATCATTTCCGGGCGCCATTTGGCTGTTTGGTGAAATATTCTACATTCCCAATGTACTGGTGTTCATGTGAGTAACGAGTTGGGGTTCAATTTTATATCTCCTATATATTCCTTTATCCCTTTTCAAGTCTCTGTTACTTCCTGTTGCGTCGCAAGAAGGCCAAGGATCAACAAAATGTCGTGGAGCTGGCACAGAATGGAGCCAACAATGGCCATACAAATCCGGATACTGAAATAACTAGTCTTTAACCAAAACACCCACGAATTACTCCCTGTACATATTTCTAGCTAAAAATAAGAAACGTTTGCATTCGCAACATTTTATTGCCACCTTCGAAGATGTGTTTTCGATTAGTTTCTACAATGTCTTGTCTAGCAGAAAGACAGAGGAAGAAGTAGATAGATTATCAAAGTTTTTCTAAAACACGCTCACCTGGACTGAAGCTGTCGAAAGATTTTAAAGATTTAAAGCGATCTAAGGCGCCAACTTAAAAGATTCCTCATATGATTATAATAAGGAGCTAAAGAGTTCTTCGAAGAAAATCGTCAGACATCAAGTGGTTTTCTTAAACTCTTCGATTTATTGACCTTCTTGCTAGGCTTACATAAAAGGCTAAGAATAGTTTTCTTTTAAAAATGAACTGCTGATTTTTATCGTACAAACGTGTGGGCACTAAAAGAGCACCAAATTGTTTTTGCCCTGAACCCGTGCTGAATCTTTCGGCAAATGCGTCAGCAATCCTTTCGTTCGACTACAACTCGAGGGCAAGTGGTAATTTTTCAATCAACAAATGCATTCAAACTGCGCAGCCAACCGCAATGTGCCTGGATGTGTGGGAGGGAGGATGGGTGCTAAATACCGCTTTGGCCACACTTGAAACAATTGGCAACTAATAATCACAGTTAATCTGCATAAGTGCGGGCGCGTGTGTGTGTGCCTTGAGGCCAAGGAAGAGGCTGCTGCGGATGGTGTTGATTTTTCACACATGCTCTAGCCGCTATCCTTGAGTCCTTTATGGTTGTTGGGGGGCTTAATAAAATTACTACTGGCTTGCTCCTTCGCCTGTTCGCAAGTTGCTATAAAAGCCATGGCTATTGCCATCAAAGGCTCAGACGTTATTCCTCTGTGTTCGCGTTCAGTTCGCCAAACCTATTGAGACTTCAAAAAGGTAATGCTGTGCAAAGAAATTATTTTCATATCCTGTCTTCTATTCGTTTCTCTGTGAATGCGGAAAAGTTAAACAATTCGATAAGATGATGTAGAGTGCAAAAACTTTGGAAACTTAAATATCTGGTGGTTGAATTTCAATTCAAAACCGAGCCATATTAGTCGTGAAAATATTGCTTGGTCATTTATCCATACTAAGCGAGAACTAAAGATGTATTTCATTAAGAGGAAGAATCACAACAAAAAAGTATGAATGGAAGAATGAATACATTTGAAATGAATATTTCAAAGGGTTTATTACTGTTGTAATAAAACAGCAGTGCTTTGCTCTTTAGGTTGAAAATATGTTCATTTCATTGTGCATTTATTACAAAATTTCAAATACTTGGGTGGAAAATGAATTTCATATTCTTGAAAAAAGAACCCATGACGTATTTTCAAAGTAATGGTGGCAGCACTCTGTAGCATACTTACGGGATATTCACCATACTGCTAGAACACACCACTTAGTTGAATAGTCATGGTGAAATTCACGAGCGCCACCTATGACCCAATTCGCAGATTTGTGTGCTGAACGCGACAAAAAGCTACATTTTAAAGCTCATTGGTGTAAAAAGAGCTTTTTGGTGAACTTAAGAACAGTATTAGAGTTGGGAATTGAATTCTCAGCAGAAGGTGATGTTTTTTAAAAATTTATTTTATATATATATTAAACACTTTTTTCTATTGAATAAAACAAAAACCTTTCAAATCGTAGATTGTGCCAAACAAAGAGTTAATTGAAAAGAGAATTTTTAGGCATTATTTGAAATATATCTTTTTGTCGTTTTAAAAAGTAACTTAGTGGTTTATTTGTATTATATAGTCTTATTAATTTAATTTTTTTTTTTTTAACTGCTACCGATTGCAAGCATCTTTTGTTTCAAATTTAGAAGAGTCGTATTAAATGTTCATCATTCCTACATTCATTAAAACTAGACCCCCCTCTCTTAATCTATAGTTCCCCCTTGATTCAGCAAACGCCAAGGGCACCGATCCGAAATGATGCGCCTGTTGCTTCTGCCTCTGTTCCTCTTCACGCTGTCGATGGCCTGCATGGGGCAGACCTTCCAATACTCCCGTGGCTGGACGAATGGCAAACGAGCTCCCTTGTCCGGCCCACTGCTGAGTAGCGGACATTTCCAGCGTGGCGACGAGCAGCTCGCCAATCTGTACGACTTCCAGGAGAACGAACGCAAGCTGGAACGGTAGGTTGGCAGGATAATGGCTTCGAAATGTGTGTTTGTAATGCGAGCGTCTCCTTTAGCTGTTTGGTGCAACTGCAGCGCTTTGTGGGCAGCAATCTGCATCGATCCTACGCAGGAGCATTAGCCTACAACGCCAACAAGCCCGACATCGGCAGCCTCAACGCCCCCGCTCGCCCCAGCGCCAATAATAACAATAACGATAACAGTTTATATGCGAGTCCCCATCATCAATCAAGCGAGCTGTATGAGGAGCTCAATGCGGCAGCGGCTGCGGCGGCAGAGGCTGGGGGTCCCCCATCGGAGCCAAACGATTATAACAAACATTAAAGGGGTTGAGCGGATGGAGAGCAGATGGATGGATTGGATGGATTGGATGGATTGAATCGATAATGGCACATTGAACTGCGCTCTGGAGGCTGGCAGTGGCGTAGACGCGGAACGTTTCTGAGGATATTAGCAGGAAAATGCTACAAAAATGCAACAAAAAAAAAAAGAAAAAAAAAAAGAAAGAGGAAGTTATCTAGTAATTATGTTATATTGTAAATCTTGAGAGTGGCGTTGGATATTTATTAATTATATTGGCGGCTCATTTCCATGCCCGGCGCTGTCGCCCATCAAATATTCATGTAAAGGAAAGAAGTGCGTATAATAAATGCCTCAATCAAATTACGAGTACGGAGGAGGGCTGTTTGTTTCGTTTCGTTTCGTTTGCTCGCTTCCGGCAGGATAATTGCGCATTTATGACAAATGCTGATGCGAAAATGTTGTTGGCACGTTCCGGCAGAAACAATTTGGTTTGGCCGGGCAGGGGGATGAGCAGCGAGTTGCCAGCATCTTGCAGTTAATTATTTTAAGTGGTTTGGGCAATAGTTTGCTGCCAGCACCTGCCTGCCAAGTCATAAACGCGTCGCAAGGATGTGCATGGGAAGCGGACAGTGCGGCAATCAAACGTACCGCCATAAGCCTTGCTATCGGCTCATCATTCACGCAATCCCTTCACCAGGAAGATATATGAACTGGTCACGAGAAAAGAACAATGCATAGCAAACACACAGTTTCAAATTGAATTCCTAACAAGCTAATCGATCCTCGGGGAGGACAATAGACAGCTCACACACACACACACACACAAGGACTGCGAGGACATCGCAGCGCACTCAAAGCGCACGCTTCGAACGCACTGCTCGGTTGCTCGGGGAATATGAATTTATATCTTTTAATCTCGCTGGCAGCACGAAAAATAAAAGTGAAATTAAGGACGCAGGACATATTCGAGCGCTGGCCATGCTGTTTATTGTCAATGTCAAGTGGGCCTTCGGGGGTGTTACGCGCCCAATTGGGTGGTGAATCCTGACATCCTTGTAATTGCATTAAAATGCAATTGAAGTTCCCAGCAACCCGGACAGACTCACACACACACACACAGACACAGAGACAGACACAAGCAGAGACAGAGAGAGAACAGACAGTTGCCAGGACCTCTGCGAATGTCACCGTTGAGTGCTATTGAGTGTAGGTGTCATCGAATCGGATGCTGATGCTCTGCGCCTCCTAGGCGCCATGTAGGCGTAAATTGTATTGAAAGCTCCTTTTAACGCCTCTTCTTGCCAATTCCAGAGAGTGTCCGACTTCTGCCATGAGGAGCACATCAATAAACGAGCGGGCAAGTCCAAATCGGTTTCAACTGATGGCCGGACCCAGAGGCCTCATTCAACGGCGAACTTCCTTCAAAGATTGTTCAATAGTTTCTGGAGTTGTGGCTCAGCAATAAATAGATTTCAAGTTGGATATCAGCTTCACAATAAAAAAGTTATAATTGTATGTAAAGAAAATAACCCTAAACATAAGATGTCCTAAAAAAATTGACCAAAATTTGACTTTCAATAAAATAAATCACGAAAAACGGAATGTAATAAAGCAAATAATGAAGCATTAAAACCAAAAACAAATAGTTGTACTCTTTCTTTTGAAAATGATTTAATTATTTAGTTATTTATTTAGTTAGTTATTTAGTTATTTATTTAGTTATTTATTTATTTATTTATTATTTATTATTTATTATTTATTATTTATTATTTATTTATTATTTATTTATTATTTATTTATTATTTATTATTTATTTCTTTATTTATTTATTCTTATTATTTATTTATTTCATATTATTATTATTATTTCATTTATTATTATTCATTTATTATTTATTATTTATTATTTATTTCTTATCTTATTAGTTATTATTATTATTTCTTATTCTTATTTTTATTATTTTTTTTTGTTTTATTTCTTTACTTTTTACTTTTATATTCTTATTTTACTTTCTTCTTTATTTCTTCTTTATTTATTCTTTCTTTATCTTTCTTCTTTTTTTTCTTATTTTTTATTCTTTCTTTATTTTTCTTCTTTTTTTTTTTATTTTTTTATTTATTATTTATTTATTATTTATTTATTATTTATTTATTGATTATTTATTTATTTATTATTTATTTTTAACCCCATTCTTTTGAATGTATAGTACTCGTATGTAAGTAAGTTTTTAAAACAATTTTAAATTCAAATATTTCCAAATTGTATGCCAATTGTAATCACAACTATGTGCTTACTACTTATATGCGAGAGATATATCGTCTGAATGGCTTTATCTTAAATATTGTATTGTTGTTCTACAAGAAGTGAAAACTTGAGCATACAATTCTATATTTTAATTTCTTAAACACAAACCGAGCTTTAAATCATTGCCCAATTTATTTGACAACTTGCGGGGATAAGTCATTACATGTTTCCAGCGCTTTGCGCAAATAATTCGTGATTTGGAAACATTTTAAAATCATTTGCAATTAAATAAAACAACGCAAGCACACATTTGTGCCATATTGAACGTTTTTTAATTGTGAAAATCGCCATCGAACTGTCAATGAACCGAGTAAGTATTTAATGAGTAATTAAATACAATGATATTGACAGCAAAAATGTTTTTATAATGAGGTGGATCCACGCTAAAAAGGAATAATGCACATTATAGTAGAGATAGCTATCAAGGCTGCAATTATTGAGCACAATATCATTTATCAGTCTTTCAATTCAGGAAAATGCTTACGCAAGCTTACAAAAATAGGCGTACATTTAAGATGTTTATTTATATTTATATATAATTAAGTTTTCTATTGAGTTCAGCTGCACAGATGTATAAATTTGTATTCTTGTATGCAAATGTTTGCAGCTGATTGTTATAAATCAATTATTTTCTTATATATTTATTGGAGTGGTCTTTGTATATTCTTTCATACTCAGAATGCAAATCCCTTCCTAGACTTGATAGTAACCCCCTGGTTGATGAAGATTGATATGTTCTTCGGAGTCGCCTTCAAAGTTTTTATAATTATTGCAGATCTCCGCCTGAATGGACGCTTCAGCCATTAGGCATTCTAAAAATTTGTTCTCCAAGTTCTTTGACTTCTCGAACATTCCGACTGTCTTCCGTATTAATGAAAATCTCCTTCACACTTATGAGGATGCTTTATGTGTTTGTTTTTTTTTTTTTCTCCACTCTCTATTGTCTCAAAAGCTGTTATTCCGTTTTTATTCTGGTGTGCAGAAGTCACCTTTTAAATAATTTAAAAATTTCCGGTAAATTGTAATAAATACAAATACAAGTGGGCCTTTGCGGGTGAGAATGTTGTCTTACGAGGATATACAAGTATTAGCATGATCCGATAAGTCGTAAACTAGAAAAACCTTAAAAGATTTTTACAGTTTCAGAGCAAGAAGAAAACCATTGAATAACCTTTAATTTTTTTAAGAAATAATTTTATAAATGATGTTTTAAAGAATATAAAAAGAAATCGTAAACTAGCGATATTTTCAGAAAAACCTTTAGAGATTCTTGGAGTTTCAGAGTAAGAAGAAAACCATTGAATAACATTTAATTTTGTAAAGAAATATTTTAATAAAGAAGTGTTTTAAGGAATTAAAAAAGACGTTGTAAGCTGGCAATATTTTTAGAAAATCCTTAAGACAATTTTACAGATTAAGTGCAAGAATAAAGCCATTAAAAACACATTAAATTTTAAGTTGAAATAAATTTATAAATAGGCGCTTTGAAGAACTGAGCCGAAAAGAGGCTTTGTAGAGTAGCCCCAGCACCTTGAACTGTTCAACAATTCTTGCAAATTAAAAGCAAACAAATGAGCCAATATCAAAAGTCATTATCCGTAATCGGTAATCGTTATTTTCAGCATCGAGCACCGAACTTCAGGCTTGATTCGCAGCCTATTTAATATGCCTGGGTCCAGTGACAGTATTTGCTTCCCATAAATAACATGAGGAACATCTGTTGAAGGGTCAGTCGTTATCTGAACTAAAGTGCTGTGCAAATCTCAACACTTGCTGCGACACATCGAACAACAAACTGATAAATCAAGCAACTTTTCGCAGCGCACCCCACACTCCACACTCCTGCTCAACTCATCTCCTCACCCCGCACCCCTCGACAAGGACAAGCGGATAACAATTATATTAAACAGGAGGCAAAACAACATTGACACAGGATTTGTAACAGGATACGCGTGTAACCACGAAATGCCGCATCAGTGGACTCCGGCTCGGGCTCTGACTCCGTCTTTTTTTTTCAAGGGGGAGGCTGGCGGGAGGTGAGCAGCGGAAACAAGAACAACAAACACCCTTTCAATTAAATATTTGAAAACAACATTCGGCAATTATACAATTGACACCAGCTGAAGGCTGACGGCTGAACGTTGAACCCTCCCCTAGTCGCCACCCCCTGCAGGAAGCAACTTCATCAACACGGAATGTTGCAAAACGCGTGACTCGAAGGCACACGCGTCAATTTCCAAAGGACTAAGGCCGCAGGGACTTGCCAAGGGGAGGCGGGGGGTGCGAGCGGACCAGCAGGTTCATAAACAATAAGAATATGAACAACACGGGCCTAACAAGTACTCTTCGGTTACGCATTCGTCATTATACCCTTCTCTCTTAGCAGACTTTTAAGGAAGAACAAAAAAAAAAAGGAAAACAAATCTAGGAACTGAGAGCAATATTGCAGGATATTTGGTTTTTTTTTAGAGAACAGAGTTTTGCACACAGACTCAGAAAGTATTCCCAGCTTGCGACTAAGTTTTTTCATTTCAAGTATAAAATAACTTTTCAAAATATTCCTCGTAATAAGTTATTGTGAACCGACAAGTAGTTCGTGAATATAGTATACTAGCTCGAATATAGATGCCCTACAATACGCTTCAACCCCCTCATACCAGACAATCCTTTCAGACAGAATTGAAAGCTCAATTCGAAGGGTACTGGTTATGGTGATATCGATGGCCCTAAGGATATAAGACTGATCTGAAGGTCTAAGCTGCAACACTCTTAATAACAACAAATATAAAGAACTTGTGTATATAAAGAAATCTCTTGCTTCTTTTGTAATTCTTTATTTATTTTTTTCTTTTTTTATATTAATATTTCGCAACTGGTCCGATCATCATAAAAAATATGCCGTTCAAGTCGGCCAGCTTGTGTTTGTGCGATGTCATGTACACTTGCATTTTAAGTGTAGGGTATTCTCATAACAAGGACAAGTTGCAAGCGTTTAACATTAGTCAAAGAACATGACATAACAGGCAAA